GTTGGTGTTGGTGTTGGTGTTGGTGTTGGTGTTGGTGTTGGTGTTGGTGTTGGTGTTGGTGTTGGTGTTGGTTGTTGTTGTTGTTGTTGTTGTTGTTGTTGTTGTTGGTTGTTGTTGTCCATGGCCCCCATCATCATCACTGGTGTCGATTCTGGCGAGCAAGAAGCGCCGTGTTCGCAGCATCTACAGAATCTACATCATTAGGTGAACAATGCTTGTGATCTATTTTCGAGGGTGGAGTAATATAGAGTACATCTCTTGGCACGCCAACCCCTGCGATTCCAGGTGAAGTCAGCGTGAACAAGCAGCCGGCAAAGGAAAACACTCAGCCTCCTTTTAAATTCTGCGAAGCTGTCAAACGTTGCATGAACCCGTGGGCATCGAGCACGCATGACGAACCCGCATCCAGCTTGTGCAGCATTCTGAAGAGAGACATCAATTCATTTTCGGTTTTGCTCGTGAAGGCAGTAAATCTCCTGCGCCTGGTAGGACGAAGACAGTTCCTTTCTGGCATGCCGGCTTCTGGAATGGACGGTTGCCTTTTCCAAACCTTTCGCATGCATACTCAGCACGCAGCAAGCGGCCCTCACTGGGAGCCGTAGATCATATCCTTTGGGCCAACCCGAACGAAGTATGGATTGTGTGGCTGGGCCTGGTTTGTAGGGGCGCGATGGACAGAAGCATACATTGTGTTACGACGAGACAGTTAAAGGCGGCATGATAATGCCTTGTGCCCAACTCCTACAATTCCCATCTTCATCCTGTCAGCATTGAAGAAGCTAGCAGCTAGCGTGATACATTCACACGGGGTTGTGCATCCTTCATGTCGAGCTCGAGCCCTTGACGAAATTAAATGCAGTCACTCTCATGAAATTCGTGGTCAGCCTAAGCTTGGCTGAGCTGCGCTGTGCCGAGCAACGATGTTTGTTTTGTTTTCACCTGAACGTTCTGGTAAGCACGAGTACAACAACAAAAGCAGGCTTGCGCATCACAGGTGGTGTATGAAGTAACAGGCTCGGTGCAGCAGGACAACATTCGAAGTGACTGTGACCTTTTCAAGGGCTCCCGTCAACTGGATTTGGGAAGACATATGCGACACGAATCATGGGATTTGTTCACACTTCATGAATGGCAGAAGCAAGAAGTCGAGTTGGGAGTTGTGAACTGCGCGAACTCAGATCTTCTCAGTTCTAGTTGTTTCGGGAAGCCCGTCGCTCAGGGTCTTCATGTGGCTTCTTGTTGCAGCTTTGAGGTCATGTGGTTGATAAGATGGAGGCAATACTACAGCACTACGAGGAATGCAGTTGGTGGTAATCACTTGAAACAAGAGCAGTCTGAAGCAGCTGAGATGCTGGTATTGATAGGGGTAGAGTGCCGGTCCCCAGGGTCAGCATCAACTGTGCTGACGATGCTTTCCTCGTTGTTACGACCTTCTTTTCACAGTGTCAACATGCGTGGAGGACATGTTTGCTTCAAGGCTTGTTCCAGTACGCCTCTGACGGCCCTGGCGACTGTAAATTGATTTTGCTGACGGGGACACTGCCGATGCGACAGCTGATGGTCCACTGGCTTGACCAGACATGACAGGACCTCTGTCGCTTCACGCTCCGCACAGCGCCGAGTTGTGAAGAGAGTACGACCCCATCCTGTCTCCAGAGTATGGGGGGTTCTAACCGATACATTTAGAGGCTGAGTGTCCAGTTGCGCCATGCCAGGAAAAGCAGCCAGCATCAACATAGCTAACAGCCGACAGGCGAGAGCCTGTATGCATGTCAGCCTGTGCAGTAGCACTTTGTGCTTTAAAGCACGTCCTTGCATGGCGACGTCTCAGACCTGGTGGCTCAGTGTCATCCCGCAAGGTCTTGCCAACCTGCCAACCTAACTGCCTAGATGGGCAATCCCTTGCTTTTGCGCTTGCTGGACTTGACTCATCAGTTAGGGCAGAACCATCGTCGAGAGGACGAAGCCGCACGGATAAAAATGGCAGACCGAGGGTCGTCTTCGGTTTGCACTTTGCTTTTTGCTAGCTAGAATAGCAAACGTCCAAAGTTCAAAGCCTTGCATTGTGAGGGATTGGGGACATGATACAGGCATGTCCAGAAAATGCATGCGGCATTCCCTAGCTTCTCTACAGCTCGCGACCCCTTTTCTGCCTTGCCAGGTGAGGTGATTGGAACGTTGGCAGCGCAAAGCCAGCACCTCATTCGGGGACTTATCTTTCAGATTTTGAGACAACCGCGAACAAGGCCGACGTTTCCTTCGTTAATTTGCAACGCATGGCTTGGAATTGTGGGTCGATGGCCACGTAGAGCTCGGTTGTCATGTGCCTTGTTGAGGTGTTGGTGAGCCGGCGACGCAAATGACGCTGGCACGCCCCTTCCATCACAATGTGCCTGCAGAGGGACGGTGGCTGTTGTGTTGACAGACATGTGCAGCTGTCAGTAAATCGGACACGCTACCCTCGCATACTGATTCCCTACTCTCAACGTCCCTCTCCCTGACACCTATTTACTCCCACAGCATCACACCCAGCCATTTCAATTGGGAATCAGTTTCTCCCAGTTTTTGTACCGGTACGAGGGTGCACTACAGCGCAAACGGCAATCAAATTAACCAGAGCTAGCAACATGCAGTGGCAATTTTGGAGAACACAGTATCCAACCCAAGCAACCGGCACGCATGCTTCCAGAACTAGGCTTAATTTCCACTTGCGGCATTGGTCGCAGAATACCTTCCACTTCGCCGGAGTGGGTGCCAAGAACGTCACGCTGGGGGTGCCCCGCTTGAAGGTCGGCTGTTGGATTGAAGCTTTGCAGGAAATGCTTCCATGGTTTGAGCAGTCCTTCTTTTTGGACTTGCTTGCGACTCGGCACATGGCCCGAGCCAACCTAAGCCCAAGACAAACCCCAGATGCTCCGTCTGACTGCACTGTGTCACATTTCAGCGCTCGTAAGGTTCGCCCCGCTGAGTCTTGTGAGCGCGCGATGCTGATTCGGAAGACAGGAGCTGATCAACGTGGCGAAGGTAGTGAAGACGCCTTCCTTGGCCCTGCGCCTAACAATTAACTCAAGTCGTTGGTAGAGGCACCGGCTTGGCACGAAGCTACATGCGCCCTAGCGAAAGATCATACCAAGATTGAGCCATCATGAGCCCAAGGCTGTATATCTGAGCGGGGACCTGGGTCAAAACCAGGAACGCGCCAAGGACGAGCCCGAAAAGGGCCAGTGATTATGATTCGTCACGCAGGCCACGAATCGAAGTCCCCTGCATGTCTGGATGGCTGCAGGATGTTCAGAGTATGCTTGAGCACACGACCCTCGAAAAGGTGACCTCCTTCACTCAGGCAGCTGAGCCACGTTATTTGGCACTTGCACGTGTCTACTTAAATTTACTTGACTACCAGTGCAATTTCTGGCCAGCAAGTAGTCAAGTCAAAAAGATGTTGGGATTCAGGCGTAGACCACACAGCAAAAGTAAAGATAAAGGCGGTATGGAGCCAGACAAGCCAAGAAACGAATTGCTCCTGTTGCCGCAGATCTTCTGGGATCCCGATCCGGAGCATACGCTTGTCGAGGAGGATCAAGAGTGGGTCTCCTTGTGCCCCCGCATCTGTGCCGAAAAGTCTCGTGGTCTTTCTGCATGTTGTCTCGGAGCTACTTCAATGCTACCGGTGGCCTCTGTCCGGTGACGGGATTTCCGACTCCAGAGGCCTCCATACTGTAACAAGCAAAGCTGCTTGATTTATGTACTTGATTTGTCCGAGCTTTGTAAACAATCTCACCTAGAGCCCAAGACAAGCACCTCCCCAGCAATTGGCATTCGCCCACGGAAGGTACTACGAGCTTCCAGACGAGGACGAGAACCCGCAGCGCTGTGGACCTTGGCTCCAGCCTCAAGTTTCATTCCTGCGGAATGTTTTGTCAACCTCCCCCCCGGTCAGCTTGCTAGAATAGCTTTCAGAACTAAGGCTGTTGCGCATCCAGTTGAGCAACAAGGCTCACTAGAGAGCAGCAGAAGCAATCACTGTATGACAAGACGCCTACATGGCGGTTGTGTTGGCATCCAGTCAATCGCCCACTTCTTGCCAGGTCATGACTGACAAAAAGCTTACAGTGCGCGAGGTTCACCGGTCGCACAGAGCTGTGCGGCTGCCCTGCTCAGAAATTGTCCCAAGTAAGAACACTCCCCATTATGAGTCAGCACGTGGCAAGTGCAATCTCCGAGAAAGAGAGGTTGCAACCAGCCAATTGCAGGTGGGAGAGCGCATCCTGAGCGATTTCCAGAATGACCTCGACTGCAACTAGACTGAATATTCTTCGTATTCCAGTCTTGATTGGCGGTTTTCAGTTTCTGAGGCATCTTCACAGACGACAATGCCGAAGAGCTCGTCCTCCGGATTCGACTTCTCAAGGATGCCGGCCTAGCGCTACGCTACTTTGTAGCTCGCACTATTAACTCAGAACTCGTTCCTGCGAGTCAAGCAGTATTGTCTGCGCCAGGGGAACCGTGGTGAACGATAACCCTGCGAAGTCAGCTTGCCAAACGTAACGGATTACCAGACATGCCAGACCTTGCTATGATTGCCCATCTTCTTTTGCCCGTCTTTGTGTGTGCTCTTGGCAGGACGGGTGGCCTCATTTTCTCATAGCGCATGTGATCATGACCTTCAGGAGCCTGATCAGATTGGCGTCGTCTGAGTCTCAGCCACGTTACAAGCAGTCCTTAAAGTCTTCCTCAGCAGTAGACTAGTAGCCACGTTGTATAGGTGTTCATGCTTCGCCATACCCGGAACTATGGTCATGGAGTGTTTTAGGCACAGGGCGCGATCGCGATCGACTGATGCCGGCCGAGGCACCCGGACCTTTTGACCCCCGGGATGACACCGAGGACAAGAATTTCAAGTTCCTGAGGCCGGGCTTAAAACACCTTTAAAATCCTAATCGAGATGGTGGAGAGCCCCACCCAGAGCCCTGCGGTGTCTCAGGACGATCGAGGCCAACATTCTCAAGGAGATGACCTTGAAGGGCATCCAGGGCATCAAGAAGGCCCAAGTCGCAGTTGAGACTTTGGTAACTTAGATTCTTGTCCCACCAACAAAAACCCTGGGCCGCGCCAGAACGACAGCTCGACGAATCCAAACCAACACTCACACCAAGCCGAATAGACCTGTGAATCAAGACTACCTACACTCGCGCACTCTGCGCTGACCCAACGCATTGACCCAGCCAAATGGCCCGATCATGAACAACACAGCGAAATTGCAGCGGTTTCGCCCACCTGCACGCCGCGAACAGGAAGCCGACGATTCCGCATTCCCCCGCTGGTCTAAGACGAATCCAACAGGGAGTGAACCTCACGACAGCCTTAGCCGCACTGTCCTTGAGTCTGGCCAAGATCAGGTTTGAGGTGGGGATGCGTTGTCGTTCCGCAGTGGTGCAGCTATCGGGAAGTAGCAGCGATGTTAGAAGAACCCAAGGGCCCAAGGTCTGACCGATGCACTTGATTGATCTTGATTGTCCGGTCGGACTCATGCCGATGGGCAGGCGAACACCCCACCCGACCTGCCCCCCCACAGATATGGAATGCCTTTAACTCATGTCTCTACCCACGTTACAATGACAACCCGCGCACACAATGACCCAATTTGAAAATTGCGGTGAAGTCGGGCAGCTATCGTCGGGTGGCGATGGTGTCCTGCTTTGGTCGGTTGCTTCATGCAAGCGCGGCAATGCATTCGTCCGTTTTATCGGAAGAAGGTGGCACGATGCCTCATGCAACGTGCTAACAGTCACTGTTATGTTCGGAGGACTGGTAAACCTGCTTGGGGTTTTCTATTTTGTGTAGTGATTACAAGGTTCAGCTAGCAGCAGCTAGCTTCATTGCTGAATGTTTAGATGGGACTATCCTGGAGCGATGGAATATACTCCCGTTCTCAGCGCAAGAATGGACGAGGTGGAGGATATGTGCTGGGTCCTTGCAATCCAGCACTCTGCAGCGTAGCAATCAGCCAATACTTCTTGCCAGGTGTTCATGCGTGAAGACAAGGTGACCAAGTGCCCTTCATGCGTGGATTCATCCGGTCGGGTCCATCACATTCTGTATTGGTTGCCAAAACACCACCTGAGAGATGATCCAGGTACGACGAGAGGACGGGCAAGTTCGAGAGGTCACAGGAGTGGGTGCTGGACACAGACGGCGTGCCGCCATAATGTTTGGCAGCGGGAATAGCCAGAGGGAGTGCATCGTTTGGGCTGCGTTACCTTTCGACCATCAACACCCGAGCTACATCTTTCATGGCCAGGTCAACATGGAAGAGGTCATGCTTCTTGAAGAGGCGAGGCATCCGGGGTCTCAGAGGAGCGAGTGAGAGCCAAGGAGGCCGACGGAGACAACTCAGTGCTACTATGGGAAGCGTGATACATTTTGAGGTGGACTACAAGCGCTTGCAAAGCAACGACATCGTTGAGATCCTGAACGTGCTAGGCATCGAGGCGACCCGGAAGGCAGGATGGCGGTTTGCACCGGGGTGAAGCGTCTGGTCAGTGTGACAACGATGCCGAAGTAGCGGCCTAGCAGACATCGTCACAGCAGTTTGACGGACATTGGTCACTGTCAGCAGGCTCTTCTCTTCCATGTCCGCATGGTGATCTCCTTCGATGGCTCTTACGCCTGCGCCTTGCAGCTGTGACGAGCAGTTTTGCAGGATAAGCGCGTTTTGGAAAACTGGACCCCGCCGGCTACTTCGTGTGTCGTCTCTTGCGGCACAGTCTCCATGTGACCAGCCTTTGCCACGCACAGACTCAGCCATAACATGGGTAGAAGTCCATCTTCTCTCATGCCCATCTGGGAACCAAGAGTGCAGTCTAGAGTATATCATAGTCGTCGCGAGCCTGTTACAGTATAGGCGGTGTATCTAGATTCTGGAGCTCGGCGCCACGGTGCAGGGAGGTTCAGTTGCCGATGTCCACGTGCATTTCGTTTCGCAGGAACCGCCTGAGTACACCCGTCACTGAGGTCAACTACCGGCATCTTGGCACAATGTGCGATGTCATGACGAATCGAGGGCGCGGCACCTCAGATTCCTGCAATGTTCTGAAGCGTTCATAAATAAAGCTGGTTGAGGCCTGTAGTTCCATTGAGTTGCATACCCGGCTCGTCATGTCTGCATGTGTTTCAAATCTCAACGTTGTTCCTTGTTCGTGGGGGATGTGGAGATGCAGCTCGGCTTTAAGCTGTTGCCAAAATTGTCAGGCATCTAATGGCCATCACTCGCCACGGCGTGAATCGCACCAACATGGGCCCACTGATGAAATGCCTTGCCCTCAGCATGTTAGGACGCCACCTGCAACCCCAGCCACCACCACTGGACCACCACCAGCCCTTTTGCTGCTTCTACTGCGCCTGCTTTCGCTCTTCTTCCTTCCGTCGGACTACTACAGCGACCAGTCCCGCTCTTCCCCCTTGACCCCTTTTTTTCCGATTTTTACTCGCGGTCATTCAACCGAATGAGGATGCCGACCATTGCCATCACCACCACTGCCGCCATCCCACCGGCCCCACCCCCACAAACCACCCTCACCGCACTCCAAGATACCAGCAGCAGCAGCAGCACCACCACCACCACCGCCACCACGACTGCTGCTGCTTGCTGCTACTGCTACTGGTCGTACGAATACTACTACCACCACTCCTCCTCCTCCTCCTCCTGCTGCCACAACTACCACCACTACTACGACTGCTGCTACTACTACTACTACTACTACTACTATGATTATTTTATTTTCGTAGTAGTACTATAGACTGATTACCACCACATCCACGACGGACTACTATATAGCAGTCCGGCCGTCACCACCTTTGCCACGACGTCCATCATCCCATCTTTACTTTACCCAGTCACACGATCTTCCTTGTGCTTTGACTCCTAGACCCGGCCAAGACTTGCTTGGAAGCAAAACTAAGAGAATGCTTTGATTGTTGCTTTCTGATCAAGTTGTGTCGCGTCGGGCTGCCAGGGTCAGAGCAAATGCATCTGTCGCCTGTTGTAGTTGTCACAGCGACCACTGCCGAGAAACTAGTAATGCAGTGAGTTCGCTCAGTCCCTGTCCGCGTCTGGCGGTTTGTGCGCTACTCGTTGTGACTGCGCTGCTGGCTTGTCAGGTAGCTTCGAAGAGACAGCAGGGGGCCTTAGTCTGTCATTTTCTGCCAGACAGCTTGGTAGATTCCTTCTCTACTTACGTCTGGACGCTTAAGACAGGTATGGCTTCACCTTTCGGATACCTTTCTCGGTGGCGCTTCGACTTCATTCCAGTACCGGGGCAGATGCTTCGAATCTTCCAAGCTTTGCAGGTGGAGATTCTGATGGATGCAGCAGTGTACCATGAGGCTCAGTCTTTCCGTTCACGGCCACTCGTAAGCTTTTCGGCGATGTAGGTGATGTGGACTCTGTGTTTGGACCGGCATGCTTGCAGACGGACCACATGCGATCGGTGTCCGAGAACATCATCTTTGGCCAGCTGGTTCCAGTTTACTCCTTGGCAGAGCTGTCGCATCTGCTAAGAGCAATATCTCTGCTGCATCTGAGATTGGTACCGGGAGCTTCGACGTCCACATGGATGACATGAAGACTGTGGAGCGGCTTGGGCTTGCGGATGCTTGCGGAGTCTTCGGTTTTTGCGACGTTTTTTTTCCAATGGAGACGTTTATTGTGCAGGACCCAGAGACGAGCCTTCAGCCTCTCTGTTCTCTGGATCATGCTACCGTGGTCGGGGCCCCTGCATCGACTTTCAGACGCGACCTTAGCCAAGACATTAAAAAAGGTGCTGCCGAGCAAGTCCAAGAGTGGTGAGGCTCGGAGCGGGCTGATGCAGTCTCGGGTGGTGATCAAGAGCACTCTGCAGCTTGTGATCGCTTTGCTTATGCATACGTGCGACATACCGCAAAAAATAGTTCTGGTGTTACCTGAAACTAGAGGTGCGAATAAAATGTAGCAGCGTAGCAGTACTCCGATGTGTTCAGGGGCTCAGACAGCGTATGGTCTAGAAAATGAACAGGGGCTTCGTGCACGATCGGCCTGTCTGTCTCCGTCGCAGTACTATTCCGTGAACACCCCGGAGCCTCACATGGAGGATGATGACCTCGAAGAGAACGCTTGGGCCCCAGAGCCGGAGCCAGCGGGATGCACGTGTGCGCAAGGCTAAGTGTAACACATCGAGGTAACGCTTGACTTGCTGGGCTTGTCAGTGCACGCAGTAGACAGCATCGACGCTCGGTCGCCGCACGGGCATCCCCGCACAATCCCGCACACAAGGTCGAAACGCCGCATGAGGACGAGGCAGCCAATGCATTCAGTGCCCTGAGTCTCAACACCTGTTGGCAACTGGAAGATGGGAAGATGGCTGACTAGGCAATGATCAACAACCTCTTCCCTACAACCGGAGGCTGGGCCCACGTTCCACTACGCATTCCACGGCGTTTCGACAGGGCGTTTCGATTTCGCCCGATCATGCAAGAACGAGGTCAGCGCATGTCACACACTCCCTGCCGGCAAAGAACCTTGGATAAGTTCTCGGCATTCCTATCTTTGGGCTTGCAGGACTCTGATGCTTCCAAGGGTTCAAGAGATGGGCCCGCTCTGAAAAAGCGCCCACATACCCTGCCAGGCACATACGCCCAAATGGCGACACCGGAGGTGCTCTTCGGGCTAGGATGAAGTAGAAGAAGACATGTAATCGACGTCGAGCTAGGTTAGTGTGCGTGCAAGAAGTTGCGTTGCGTAAGCGGTCTTATTGGTCTTGTAGATCATCAACGATCGATACTCCCAGGGGCATATCGTGGCACATCTTGTGCAGAGAACAACGACCAGAACTCGGCTCAAAGCTTTGTAAAGTGAATGACCTGCAAGACACGAAAGAGAAACATCTGAGCGCAAAAACGGCACAGGTTTCGCCGGACTCACCCGGGGATTTGGGAGAAGGCCTGAGCCCGCAGAGTTTTCCACGGGAGAGATGGCGTGTGCTGGCCGAAAAGGCGCCTTCCGATCACCCTTCAGCGTGGCACCAGCCGGTGGGCCGTCGCCCTTCTCTGTGCGGGTCGTGAACCCAGGGAAGCATGCATCTTCGGACCATGACAGCGAAAGTCTGCTGGATGTGCATGTCAGTTGACAATGCCATGTTCCTTAAAGTCGTTCCGCTAGGGAGGCTGATTTCAGATCCCGACTGCACAGCTGGTGGGTGGCATTATATTATAATATATTATATTATATTATATTATATTATATTATATTATATTATATTATTTGCCTTTTATTAAGTTGTGCTGTTGGCTGTTGAAGCTGGGTCTCTGTCGGAGTTGAGACGACTCTTGGTGCAGCTACGAATATGAGAATTCGGTAGAAGTCTCGAGAGGCAGGGCGGGTCAGAGGTCGCATTGCGAATATCTATGTAGTCGACACCCGTCTAGGAGTAGCAGAGTCTTGCTCGAATATTCTGCCCTTTCTCATACATGGCTGCTTGCAGGCTGCCATGGAAAACGAGGTGTTCCTAAAACACATGGCTGCGAAATGGAAGCAAAGGAATCAATGAGTCGAGGGTCTAGCGGTCAAGAACGGCAGGCACGAGCCGGACATTCTGTTGTTGCTGAGAAGCAGTCGTCATCGCTTGCAGAGACGCAAGAAGTTGTTTGTTAATACATTGGAAGCAGCTGTACGTAGCAGAGACTTTGCATGGCAACATCAACCAACTTGCACGCGTGAGGCCATGCCGTTGTAGATGTTAGATGCGGAGATTGATAATCAGTTTCTGTTCGAGATGGCCGACTATCGTGGGGACGAGCTCAACCAGTAGTGAATGAAGATTAGGCTGCATAGGCCTGATACTATATTGGTCCAAGAGGCTCGATCATACGTGAAACAACTTACAGTGTGAATCAGGGATATGTTGTAAACCGTTTGACCAATTACCATAGCCTTGGCGTGGCTTGCAATCTACTCGAACGTCCCGACCCCGCAAACAGCTCAGCTCGCAGAGCCGTGCAAGACAGCACTCCAGGCTACGCCTCGGGCAACACCCTATGGCGGGTGACCCCTGCCTGGCTTGACTCGTGCACGCTATGTACTAAAGCGCTCATGGCTGTTTGAAGGCAGTTGAAGGCGTTGGATAGCTTACTCAAGCTTGCCACTGCAGCATTCTCACTGTCCTAGCGCCAGCCCGAACTGCACACCACACCTTGCTTTGCGCTAGCAAGTTAACTTCGAATGTATTGTGCGTTACATGACACCGCTTTGCTTTGGCTCAGCGCTTTTTGATCTCGGCTGTCCTGCGCCTTCCTTGGTAAACGCTTCTTGCCAACTAATTCGTTCATAACCTCGGACTCGATTGAGGCTGATTCTCTCTAGGGATACGGCGATACGGAGAGAGTTTCTGACGCAGTTGTTCCAATATTCCAACTCCAGCCGACGACAGAGCTTGCTGCGTTCGTATGCGTGTTGTGAACAGTGGCACTCACTTTATGACCTGTGCGCGGAAACTACTCTTTCACGTTCACGATAGAAGCACGAAACCCCGTTTGCAGGAAGGGATTCGGAGCAGCTAAGGCTTCCCACTCTTGGAGCGATTGGACGCAATGGCAAGCATTGTGGCAGCCCAAGTGCGAAGCAAGACACTGCAGTATTTGGAAGCTCGGTAGCGAAAGCGACCAGCCCATTTGCAGAAAGCTGTATAATGGCGGTTGTGACGGGAGAAGCTAGCAGGTGGTGCCCTCGGACATCACCATCGTTGAGGAGAAGAAGACGATCGGAAAGCTCGGGCCCTGGACGGTTTTGTGTAACAGGTGCGGTGCATCGAAAATTCTAAGCCAGAGCTTCAATGGCTCAATACTACGATGGGTGTTAAAGGTTTTCGTCGAATACTAGTGGCTTCAAACGGGAGATCCAAGCAGCCAAAAGCATTCCTGCAAAGAGTCGAAGCATCGAGTCGTGCACCCCGTCGCGTGCTGCAGATTCTCAGGCGCAAGCTGATGCCCTGGGAGCGCACTGGCCTCCTGGGCATGGCGGCGAGCTCAGGGAGATCACACTGTAGGGACGAATCCCGGCCCAACTGAGCTAAGGCACCTATGCTCCATCTTCACTACAGCAAGCCAGACTCTCAGGGTGCGAAACCACAGCTTCGGCAAAGTGCACGGACCCTTCGGCTCATAGCTGTCGGCGGCACATCGTAGATGAGGTTTGATGACAGCTTGGCAATCGGCAAGCTCAGAGTGTAATGCTTTGTTGCGAACATGCCCTTGGCCCTGATGCAGACCGAGTGAATGTGGATGAATCACAGCTTTTGAATTTCAGTGCAGCCGGTGCTAGCAGCGCAGGTGCGCTTCGGCTGTCGAAGGTGAAATGCTGCGTGTCAAGTTCTTGAGCCCCAACAAAGCTTAGGCTCATAGCCCCGGACAGTGATAAGTGTGCGGATGGAGACCTAAAATGGTGACGGAGCACGAACATATGGCATCTTTCATGGTTGCTTACGTAGTAGGACCGTGCTTCGGCAGGCCATTTCAGGAGAGTCGTGGTAAGGCAACAAAATGCCCAACGCATCCCTGCGAATCGTACTGGAGGCAAGCACACCAAACACACCGGGATCAGAAGAGATTGGCTGGTTCGTGCATCTGAGGCTGGACAAGGGCGACAAGCGCAAGATCCTCTCCCGGAAGTTTGATCCGGATGTGGTCCTGGCCATTTCTGGTGCGTTCTGTAGACTAGGCCCTCGGCTTGAGATACGTCAGGCCCCAAGCCTGAGGCAAATTTCCAAACATGATTCTACACCAATCCTGCGAGACAGAATGCGATGTGGACCTGTTAGAAGGCCAAGTAAATCTTTCCTGTTGCGAACAGGTCACAGTCGCCTCCCGACCCGGTTTTGCCAAAACACACGACATTCCGAATCCAAGCCTGTCGCAAGACGATCTACTGGAGATGGCGGCTGAACATGTCCCTCCCTTCCTGCGACAGAAGCGAGACAGGATCTCTTCTCTGCTGAATGTTACTCCTCAGGAGTCTGTCTGCGAATGCACTGTTGATTGCGAGTCCGCTCGGCGTAAGCATTTTTTAATGCTACAGTCAGTACCCATTTTGGGAGCTTCATCGGACCGCTGACTGGCTGCAGCCAGGACATCTCTGAGGCCAATCAGATCTGCATCCGCCGACAGGACGGATAACCAGCCTGCCACCTTGCCGGGTCTGCAAAAGACTCCTGATCTATTTTCTGCGAGCTTTCAACATGATGCAGGCCACATATACTGGCACAAATCCGATGCCTCCAAAAGCAGTACTCCCTGCTACAGCGGCTTTCAGATTAAAGCTCTCCAGGAGTCCGTTCGGAAGGAGGCCCTCCTGCATGTTTGTTCAGCGCATGAAGCTTCTGTCAGGAAGCACCGCTCCCGGTTCTGTGCTAAAGGGATCAGGCAGTGCAAGCCATTGCAGTGAGGGGCTCACAAATGCCTGACACCACGCAGAAGCTTTCAGCTCGCGCGTAGGTGGTGGCCACGAACTTCATGTGGGACACTGCGCTGGGGACGCAGTCACGCTGACTATTGAAAGACTGAGTCAGCAGACTCGTGGGTTGCATGTGTTCTTCATTCCAAGCTGTGTGCAATGCTTCTATCCTTCCCGAATCTAACGAATCTAAAGCCTCTGAAATCACTCGTTGTCTCGAAACTACGAGGTTGACCATGGCTGGGCTGACTTGGTGGTCCTTCCGCAGGCCACCAGCCAGTTGAGGGCGCGTCAGACAAAACCAGACTTGACGGCCTTCGAGCAAGTATTCACCATCGCCAAAAGACGAACCCGGGCAGGTACAACTACCAATCGCGTCTCGTCGCTCTTCCCTTCATCTTCTATGGCCCGGAACTTGGGATGTGGCACTCCTCCAAGGAATACGCAATGCTGGATGCAAGTCTCCATTGACGAAACCTCGTGGTCCTTTCTTTGTACTGGCAAGACCTGTAGCCTTTCAGCCGAGGTGGAACCTTTGTCGGTCGCTGCCTTGGCCGTCTAGAGTCTAGAAGCCTATGTTTTGAATTCCGAAAACCATTGCTTGGGCCTTCGTCACAAGGACGTGTGATTGGCGACGTCGTCACAGGCCGAGTGGTAAGCTTGTGATGATGCCGAGAAGCACGACATGGTTAGTCCTTTCCCGGCCCACTATTATCAGGCATACACCTTTCCAACAGTGAGCTTGATTTGGGACGCGGCAGCCTACATATTAGGGCCCTTTGGGGGGCGTTTCGGGTTTGACGGGATGGGCAGATCCTGCAGCCAGCAATCCTCTTCAGCCTGTGGTTTCTTGCAGCCACTCCGATGTCCTTTTGGCTGAGGCCGTTGCAGTTTGTTCCATGTGGCCTCTGCCTCTGCTGTAGTTCCGACCGTCCTTTGAAAGCTTTCCCATGCTCCTATAGTTTTAGTCCCTGTCAGAGTAGCAGTGCTATGACGAGAACCGCTGAACACATCTTCGCACTCCACAATGAGGGAAGACGAGAGCATAGTAAGAGGCAGCTGCTGACACCACCAACATCCAGCAGCCCCTGCTCATCCTCGTGTGTCGTAGTAGCAAGTGCCGGTCCCATAAAACGAATACAATCGTTGCCCCCTCATAATCATCCTTCAACCGTCCTTTAGTTTCCTGTGCGTGATCCGAAACCTCAAAATTACACCGCCAAGCCATTGTGTAACTTGCGGGGGTTGCACCATCAAGGGCAAGGAGTACTCCGGCTACTGCAAGTTCGGAGACCTATCGCATAGAGGTTTTGACGATCAGCAACCGTAGCTTGTTCTTTGCTTCCGCAACTATGCGAAGCCTTGCAGAAGCCTGGCAGGTCGGAACGGTGAGTGGAGCCGTGATCGCTTTTTGGGCCAACTTCCTGCCAAGGCACTGTGCTCCTGCATCGACTTCGAACCTCAAATTCCGGCTCCAGCCACTTACTTAGTCCTGATGAATGCTGAAGCACTCCAGGAACCAGGGGCATCGGGTCTTTTTGTGGCCAGACTTGGACAGGTCCGTACTGGCGGTAGAATCCAAAACACAGACCAGAAAGGTGGAGTGAGCTTCAAGAGACGACTTGCGCCAGGTGTACTACAACTGAGCAGCATCTGACGGGTCGTAGCAGCGCCAGATGTGGATGCAAAAGAACCCCAGAGTCGGGGCTCCGAAGTGCAGGTTTTGACCCGAGGTCGCAGGCGGATTCGGGCCCATCGCCTGTACTCTAAAGGATATCTTCCCTCGCACGCTGTCAGGAGCATCCCCACGTGAATCGATTCGCTGCCATCGACTTTTTAAGGAGCGTGCTGCCAGAATGGCCGAACACACCACACCCAGACTATAGGCTGGCTTCAGAGCCGTGGGTCCGGGATTTGGCATGTATATGACTGTATATGAGTATGAGTGATGGTGGTCTGAGCTATCTGCAGGCCAGGCTTGATGGTGATGAAGGTGAGGTCATGTCGCGGAGGCTCTCGTATAGCGTGCGTGGCTCTGTCAAACATCCTGATGCCAGCCGCATACAAACAGCGTTAAAGTTGAGGTAGGTAACAGTTCAAGTGCCAAGCGGGTGGGGTGTGTTCTGCAGAGCGCTGCCGAGCCAGACGATGAGACTCACTGCAGTATGAAGGTCGATTGTTGAGAGTGGAGATTCCTCAGTGACAAGCGCATTTGGGCAATCATGGCCCTCCCGGATAACCGGCAGAGAGTCTCGTGTCACGAACCCGTTGACGTGGCGTGGGCGATTGAGTTAGAGCTCTTGGATGGGCTCGGGCACGCTCAGCTTTCACGAGAGGTTCGCCAAGCGAAGGCCACTGAAGATGTCAAAGGATTGTGGTGTTCCGTAGGATTTTCGCTGTGAGTATTTCTGGCACTGTGCCTTCGGTGGGTCTCTTGGCGAAGCATTTCCGATGATATGCTTGGATACCCAAAAAAGTCCACTATCAGCATGCTGGTGTCTTTGTTCTCGTTTGCGGTGCTTAGTGGCCGCTTGCATCGTAAACCCCCAGGTCCAGTTTGGACTGGTGCCGTCACATCCGTGTCCTGCACATCCGTGTCCTGAGATGGTGAACCGCTTGTCTAGAATGCTTGTCTGTCAGTTGCGTCGATGCGGCACTGTATCGGGAGAACCGTGAGAATCCACTGGAAAGGAGCAGGCTGCTTTGCGCTGCAAGCTAGTCATAGATAAATGACTGAACAAATCGCTCGGTAGATGATCCAAATGCGTGGAGTGAGACAGGCTACGTCCCGCATGCAGTCGGAGCCCGTTTCCACTGCCAGGATGTACACGCCTGCTCGGAGCGACTTCTCCATGGCCAGCCCGTTCTCAGCCTTCGCATACTCTCCGGCCAGCGCAGAGTACTCCCCAGTCAGGGACTCATTGCAGCAACAGCAACACGGAGCTGACACTCTGTATCCTGTCGTCGTTGATGTTTGTGGTGTGGTGTTCGGTTTTGCCATGTTTCGCTCTATCACAAACAGGGTTTGCCTGGCCTACTCGGAGGAGCACGAGTGGCCATGCAAGGTTTCCAGGTAAACTCAGCTGGAGCCTTGACTTAGCCATTGCTAGTACCCGTACGGTCTTTGTTCGTGGATGTGGGCTTGCCGGTGGAATCCAGGAACAAATTAGATTCCGACAGTTGCCAACAAGAGCTCTCGGGCTGAAGTCATGTAAGGCCGAGAAGAGTGATGACAAGAAGAAGGAAGAGTTTGCGATTCCCAGCCCGACCTATTCTCCCAGGTCCTCCAGCATGAGTTTGCAGATGAACCTAGGATTTAGTACCAGGAGACAGCTGAGTATGCCCTTCAGCAGTTTGCGGTTGCACGTTCCACTACATGCTCTACCGCCACTACATGCTATATGTATATAATATTATATATATATATAGTGCCTGACATGCCCTACCAGCCGTGGTTGAGAGGAGGCACTTGGACAGCGGCAGTTGACACATGCACCCTTTTCCACTCCGAAGATCGCCTTCGCCATTGCAAGATGTAGTTTGGGTGGAAGAACTTGTTTCGGGCTGTAACAGGATCGAATTCGCCGCCACGGTTTTGCCCAGAATTTCATTAGATTCCAGTTGCCCTGCAGTCCGTCGGTCATCTACTCGGCCGTCAGCAAGAGCCCGAAGAGCCGGCTCACGCCACACACCAGTGCCTTCGCGGCATCTTGCGAGTCGAAGGGGTCTCGGGCTTCGGGTCTCTCGCGGGATGTCTGAAGACAAAGCTGACTAGCCTGCAACCACCCACTTCGATGCTGGAGGGGGCTTCGTTTCAGTTCCCTGCACACTTCCTTGATCTAAGGGAAGACGAAAGCATCATCAAGCAATAGCTGGCTCTGACATCAAGTCGTCGGAGGTTTCTAGAATCAGAAGGGGACAACATAACATCAAGCGGAAGCTGCCGCGGAAGCTACTTCAATTGTTGGATGCATCGTTCTGGGCACTAACTTCGCGGATCCCTGCGACTTGCAGACGTCGATTTGGAAGTTATGAACCCCAACTCCAGAGCTGACATGGATTGAGCCGTGACAGCTGGTTTTGGAGCTTGAGCGAGGTTGAGGTAGATGGCGAGAAGCCAAGATCAAGACTTTGCAGCAGATTCAGGGTTTTGGAGAAGTCGATTCACGCAAAGTCAAGCCGAGTGTAAATCAGCCTCACCGTGAAGGCCCGGGGTACTCGCTGAGCAGCAAGCCGCGGTCTTAGTTTCTGCTAAACACTTGTGCTGTCGACCTTGGTGCTGTGCTACTGCTTGTTTTCGCAACTCCATAGGGGGCAGTTAACACGTTGCACAGGTACGGGGGACCGCGATCGGCGATGTACACGCCACGATCGGCGATGTACACGCCTACCTCGCCAATGAGGTTGGTATGGCAGTTCTAGGCGGAGTACAGCAGCTATCAGCAGCTCCTGGCGAAAGCAAGGCTGATGTAGCGTGCAATGCACAGACCGTGCTATCTTAAGTTTGATGAATGTGAAGTCCACAGCTGAGCTCCGTGCTATTCCTGCACAGAAGGCCCTCATTCGGGCTGCTGAGAGGCACGGGAAAACCAACCAACGATCTATCAAAGGAAGCGACTCCAGATGCAAAACCTCCTGCCCTAAACCCACTCCCCACTGGATGCACACTCGTGGCTGTCAGTGCGACGACGAAGGGGCAGCTGGAGGGTGCCGGCAGTTCTGGGCTCAGATACTGGGACTGCTCAGCATTCGCCTTGGACAGTGTGACTGTGGTCCGCTTTCTGACGGTTTGCCGGACTGCTTCGAGCGACGATGCAGATCTTCAGCGCTCATTAGACGTGACTTCCTGAGCGTGCGAGGCTTGAGAAAAACATTAGTCTGGGGTCCAGGTGAATTTCAGATGCCAGGCTGCAAGCATGCAGCAACGAGACTGCTTGAGAATTATCTGGGCATCTTCTCAAGTATGCCTTTGCCCGTCATTGCGCGAAGACCTCATTCATTCGCCCTTGCCGTCCGAGATGCAAGACTACTCCCAGCCCAGGCGCACGCTACACGCCGCTGAGCAGCCCGCAGGGGCACACGGAGGGCGGAGAAACAGGGTTGTAAGTTGTGGCGAAGTCTTTGCGAGGTTCCTCTTTGCGTGGTCTGTACATGTGCTCCTGCAAAGGCGCTCACTGTTCTGCCCGTGTGCCCATGTTTGCCCTGGTTCAATTGGAGGGCCTATTTTTGTCGCCTTTTTTTTTAACACCTGTGGCCTTCTTTTTTTGCGTGCTTGGTATTGACAGTAGTAATAGACTTATAGTAGTAGTAGTAGTAGTAGTAGTAGTAGTAGCAGTAGTAGTAGCAGTACTCATAGTAGTCGTCGTAGCAGTAATTGTAGTAGTAGTAGTAGTAGCAGCAGCAGCAGCAGCAGGAGTAGTAGTAGTAGTAGTAGTAGTAGTAGCAGTAGGAGTAGGAGTAGTAGTAGCAGTAGTAGTCGTCGTAGCAGTAATTGTAGTAGTAGTAGTAGTAGTAGTAGTAGTAGTAGTATTAGTAGTAGTAGTAGTAGTAGTAGTAGTAATAGTAGTAGTAGTAGTAGTAGTAGTAGTAGCAGTACTCAGTAGTAGTAGTAGCAGTAGTAGTAGTAGTAGTAGTAGTAGTACTCATAGTAGTCGTCGTAGCAGTAATTGTAGTAGTAGTTGTCGTAGTAGTACTCGTAGTCGTCGTCGTCGTCGCCGTCGTAGTAGTAGTAGTAGTAGTAGTAGTGGTAGTAGTGGTAGTAGGAGTGGTAGGAGTACTAGGAGCACTAGGAGTACTAGGAGTACTAGGAGTAGTATTAGTCGAAGTAGTAAGTAGTAGTAGTAGCCGTAGTAGTAGTAGTAGCAGCAGCAGTAGCAGTAGTAGTAGTAGTAGTAGTAGTAGTAGGAGTAGTAGTAGTAGCAGTAGTAGTAGTAGTAGTAGTAGTACATAGTGAGTAGTGATAGTATCAGTAGTAGTATTAGTAATAATAATGATAGTAATATCAATACTAACACTAATGCTAGTACTAGTACTAGTATTAATATTAATACTAGTACTAATACTAGAATTAATATTCATACTAGTACTAGTATTATTACTATTACGATTACTATTAATATAGGTATACGTGTAGTAACAGTAAAATTAAAAATGGTAATAGTAGCAGTCATACCTAGAGTATGAGTAATGTACTACTGCTAGTAATAGTAAGAGTAAGAATAAAAGTATTAGTAGTACTACTAGTGATAGTAATAGTACTATTACTACTTATACCTATACTAATAGTAATCGTAATAGTAATAGCACTAGTTTTTTTGCGTAACAGTAATAGTACTAGTATGTGTATTAATATTAATGCTAGTACTAGTACTAGTATTACTAGTATTGATATTAATACACATACTAGTACTAGTACTAATTTTGAGAAAAATACTAGTACTAATACGAATACTAATACTTATACTGTATACTGACTTATACGAATAGTAATCGCACCTACTACTACTACTACTACTACTACTACTACTACTACTAGTACTACTTCTACAACTACTACCACTACAACTAGTAGTACTACTACTACTA